AGCGAGGAGCATCGACGTCGAGGGGAGGAACGCGTACGCGACCCTGCTTTCGTGTCCAAGCTCGAATCACTCCGACAGTGCATACGGGAAAAGAAGGAGGACAAGCACCTGGCTGCTGCCCTCGTCGATCTCTTGCAATGCTATGCTCAGCTTTTGTCATCCTCGTCCACAGCCAATGCCTTCAAGAACCATGATAGCAGGCACGTCAACACCAGGGTCGACATCCCGCGTCACAACTACGACCTCCGGTCTAGGCGCCATGCTGCCAAGAGCGGCGAAAGCAGGGTCTCTGCCTTTGAGCAGGGAAACCAGCAGCTGAGAAGTGGTGGAGAGTGCAACTGTGTCGATATCGCAATCCGCGTCCCAAAACAACACATGCTCTGCTTGGCATTGCAAGATGAGCAGTCTGCTGTCGACGATGGATCCGATGCGAGCAGCGTCCGTAGGGACGCGCAGCATCCCTATCTGGACTATGCTTCAGTCGTCGAAATGAAGCGAGAGGCTTACAGCGACCTCAGCGGCTCCCTTGTCAAACAGATCGCCCGCGACGCGGTGAGTCGTTGTCGGCAAGGCAACTCCCAGACAGACGCACTCTCAAAGGTAGCCCAGGCGCATTGGCCTGGCCTGCGGTTTTTGCTGGGGCACGTGCGCTCGTCTTCCTCGCGCGTTTTTTTCTTCTTTCCGCTGTCGATCCGCTCAGCTGAACCAACTTGCCCTCCACTCACCCCCTTCCAAACGACCCAACAGCGTCAGCTTCTGATCGCCCATCCATTCGCGCGACACGTTCATGTAGTGACATGGACAGGGTCCTTGGTGCGTCTGTGGCAATACAATGCCAACGGCATCGTCTTGTCCCGCCCCTTCACACTCATGAAGACGTCAGACTCGCGCAGAAAAGAAGGCAGCGCAGACAACGTCGCAGAGCTAGGCAAGCTGTGCTACCTGCTCATGTCCGGAGAGGCAACTGTCCTTCCACGATGGACACCATGCTCCCCCGATGCCAAAGCTCAACTACTGGGCATGGAGGTTGGCATTGAGATCAAAGATCATCAGTCTGTTCTCATCATCAATGTGCGCCTCAGCATAGATGGCTCTCGCACCGTGCTGTTTGGCACACCCATCACAAATATTCACTTTCCTCAGCAATTCAAGACGCAGTATCCTTGGGTCTTTTTCAAATGCAGCTGGCTCCCAGAGCAACTAAGCCAGCACAAGCACACTATGCTGAAAGAATTGTCAAAGACTGGCTGTGCACCGGATCCTATTGGCAATTTCCAGCTACCCTGGACAACTTCGACATTGAAGAGCTTCTCGCGCTCTGAAGAAGACGAAGGTCAGCATAAAATGCTAGCTTGCGTGCTCGTCTTTGCACAGCATCGCGGAACGCACATTCCCTACACTTTGTCGGTCGCAGCGAAAGCTGACGTGTTCGCTCAGCTGTCTCAACAACTCTGCGCTTATGCAAAGAGAGGGTACCATTACCGTGATTTGAACACCGGCAACGTTCTCATCAGGTATGAGAACGACAAGATGGTTTTGAACCTGGTTGACCACGGGAACGTCCGTCATGGCTCTGTGCGTGGCCTCGAGACCACGGCAGAGGACGACGCACGTTCCGCAAACCAGCTCTTCATCCCCTCCGGCATGCACAGGGCCGTGAGTGCTCGGGATTCGTTCATCTTCGCCGGCCAACGATTGTTGGTCGCAATTACAGACAGGGACAAGATGCTCAGGCGGAGACAGTGGTATGACGAGCATCGAGAGCTGTACCTGTCTCTGCACAGGTACTGTGACGACCTCGAGTCGTCGATCTACATACTCATTTGGCTGGTGAGTAGCTTGAGTGCTTCTGTTCCTCTTGAAGTACAGCGATGCTGATGTGCTGCGGTCATAGTCTGCAAAGCCCGGAATGCACGATCAGCTACGCAGAATCCTCACCAACGCAGGCGAGAAGACTAAAGCATGGTCGAAGGAAGTCCGTTTCGAAATGGTATGTCTTCCTGACCGAGGATGAGGACTCCCCCGGCAACACGGGGTTCGAATTTCGCTAATAGCTTCAATTCACGGTCCTGCCGACGCAGCTACTCATCGAACACCTCGGCGCAGAAGAGGTTTGCAATGATTTGCTATTGGAACTCTACAGAGCCATTCGACATGCACAAGAAGCATCGCTGAAAAGGGTGGAGACACACTACGAGGAGATGATCCTCAACGGCGAGAGCAACGTGCCCTTTGAGATCATCGAAAGTCGACTCAAGACCGTTGGGGAACTCCCTTTGACGCCAGAAGAAGAGCAGTGCATGGCTGTTGAAGCGCCAAGACTCTTCAGGGAGATGAGCCGCTTGATGAATGGCAGCGCAATGGTTGGGATCGGATCGCCGCTTTTCGCTAGCCGACGTGCTACTTGTGACCCTGCGTGCGACGCTGAGCTGACTGGGAGTCCTGCTACACTCTCGACTTCTCGTCAGAAGCAGACCGCTTCAGACTCGACTCCAGCAGACGCTAAAAGAACAAAGGCACAGCCTTAAGTAAGTCGCGCCGCAAGCCGCAAATTTCTGCCTCGAGTCAGGCAGCCTTCAATTCGAAGGAGTCCCCGTGCGAGTCGATGGCTGCCTGTCTCGCCTGGGCTGTTGCTGCTCGGAACTCTGATTTCGGCCCCTTCCTTGGTCCCGCCTTGTAGCCTAACACTCACCCAATCGCTCGGTCACACTCAAGTCGCTCACAACTCTCGCCACCATCTGCCCGTTCCTGATACTGGTGCTGCGCCTTATTCGCCCTGCAATGGCCTCTTTTTGTATCGTATTGCATGCAAAGGCGGGCAGCTTGAGCGCCTCGAGTCAAGGTGTATAATCCGACGGTCACGTGACGCCGCGCGAGAGACCTGTGTGCGTCGGCGGCAAATACTCACACTGGGTGACAGGTGGCGGTGAAGCATGCTGTACGCGATCGAGGCTTGCTCTAGACTCATCATACTCGCGTCTCAATCAAGACTCACGACTAGTCATCAGACTCTTGACTCTTGACTCGCAACTGTGATGAACTCAACTACGGCTTGATCTACCGGTTTTGATTCGACCCAATCACGATTGCGCATTGTCCTTTTCCTAATTCGCCTTCTTCTTGGTTCGAACATGGCCGCTCCCAAACCTTGATGCACGCACCTATCATCGACCCTAAGCTGCATCCGGGCCCGGGTACCCGCGCTGCGTTGCAATCGAGTCTTTAGTTCGAGTACCGCCTCTGCGACTTCTTAGAGCTCGTCAACTCTTCATTCTGATCCACGCGCATCTGGTACGCACTGCGGCGGCTCAGCTTGGTGCGTTGTAACAGCCGCCAATACAACAAGCAAAGGAGAGGTTCGAGATGGCAATTGAGGTCAACGGTGCAGCTTCAGCCGGTGCAAAGGGTCGGTCGGGCCGGCGATGGCATTCACGCGTGCTGCTGCTGAGGACGAGCGCCATTTTGGCCTCCCTGATCCTTGCTTGTCTTGTTGTGAGTGCTTGCCGGCATTAGCAGCGCGGAGGGGGAGGGGGGTAGGGCTACTAGCGGGAAAGCACAAAAGGCTGCTGCACCCTCCAGCCTTCACACTTCACACTTCACACTGCCCATCCCCACTCGTTCAGCACTGGGGGCGAAGCATGCGATCGTGCGGTCAACATCATTGTCGTCTCGATCTTCATCTCGCACTGACACGATTCCCTCATCGCCGTGTGCACGCAGGCCATCGCTCTACCCCTGACGTTCCCAGGTCTCTTTGTGAGCGCACAGCAGACGGCACAGCTCGAGGCATTCTTTGCGCGCAATCATCATCAGCAGCAGCAGAACGGGCAGGCAAGCTTGGACGTGCCGGTGACCGCGAATGGATCTGCTGCGCGACTGGCCGATGACGCAGGCCACACCAACAACTGGGCCGTGCTCGTCAGCGCCAGCAAATTCTGGTTCAACTACAGAGTGCGTATACCCGAGGCGGCCTTTCGGATTCCAATTCGAGTTGAAACTGCAGCCGAAGCCGCTAATTAGCTGCATCTTTCGCCTGCTCTTTCACTCAGCACATGGCCAACACGCTGGGAATGTATCGCACAGTGAAGCGACTGGGCATTCCCGATTCCCACATCATTCTCATGCTGGCGGATGATGCTGCTTGTAACTCGCGAAACCTCAGTCCAGGCTACGTTTGGGCCGAACCGGGCAGGAGCTTGGATCTGTATGGCCAGAATGTCGAGGTGGATTACAGAGGCTACGAAGTCACAGTCGAAGCTGTCCTCCGGCTGCTCACTGGTGAGTGTGGTTGAGACCGGGTGCCGCTCCGATGGGCTTGCGAGCGCCGACACGATGCCGCTGCTGACCGGCGGTCGCGCGCATGCCACCCAGGCAGAGTGCCCCTCAACACTCCTCGGTCAAAGCGCTTGGAGTCGGATAGCAGGTCAAATGTCTTTTTGTACATGACTGGCCATGGCGGCGACGAATTTTTGAAGTTTCAGGACTACGAAGAGATCTCCGCTTTTGATTTGGGTGAGAAGGGCTTGAAATCTTGGGTGCGCAGTGCACATTCTCGCGCTAAGACCTGCTGTGCGATGCTTGCGACTGTAGCCGACGCAATAGAACAAATGTGGGAAAAGAAGCGGTAGGTTTCAGTGTACGAAGAGGAGCCGTGCAGTCCGGCTCGAGCTCACACTCCTCCGTGCCCTTCATCTCGCTCCATCTCGGCAGCTACCATGAGCTCTTTTTTATGATCGACACCTGTCAAGCCAACACCATGTACAGCAAGATATACAGTCCTAATGTGATCGCAACTGGAAGCAGCAAAAAGGATCAGAATTCGTACTCTGTGAGTCCGGACGAGCTTGCTCACATGTCCTGCCCTGCTCTGTGCGACTCGTGCAGCTGACGCCACTTCGACATCACGACACAGCACGGCACGGACGAGGAGCTTGCAATCGCCATGTCTGATCGTTTCACGCTCGAGATATTGGATTACATGGAAAGTGTCAACAAGACGTCGAGCAGGAGCCTGCAAGACTTGGTGCGTCCCCCCGTCTTTGGACGCGCAGCGAATCGCTGATCCACTGACCGCATCTTCCTCGTGCACCCGTAGTTTGACAGCTACGACCCGGAAAGAATCCATTCGGACCCGGGGGTGAGGCGGGATCTGTGGGATGAAGAGAGAAGACCATTGAATCAGGTCAAGATCACCGATTTCCTGGGCGGCGTTAGTCAAGTGGAAGTCACGCCTGCGCCAGGAAGCGATGCGTGGGAAGAGGAGCCCCTCATGTGACGCCATGCAAAGCTTCCTTTCATGACTATGGATCTGTTGGCAGTCACAACGGTTCGAGATTGTGGCCGCAGCGCACGGAGACCTCCTCAATCACTTGGTGACGAGCAGTCTTGTTTATTTTGACACGAATGCGCCGGCGAGCGAAATGAAGCAGGCGGTCGAGCGGGCGTGAGCCTGATTCGAGTCAAGGTGGAGTTAAATGCATGAGTCACCCACCAGTCACGAGTGGCCCTACTCAGGATTTAGCAACCTTGAAGAGGCACGGAGGGGAAGGAGTGTGGACCATGTTTGTATGATGAGTCACGAGTATTCATTATACGAATGTGAACGGTCCATGCGCAGCTGTGCCCCGAACCCGTGGCGTGCTGTGCTGGTTATATATACGATTTGGGCAGGGAAGGGCTCTTGCTCATCATCCTTTGCAAATTCAAAATTGTGGAAACCGTTGAGCGGCGAGCCGTCACGAGTGTCGAGTGCGGTAGATTGCCGCACGCATGCGCAAGGTTGGCACTCGGCAGTCATAGTCTTGAGTCGGCACCGAGAGCGCATCAATTTAAGCCGGCGAAATCGATCACGCGGCTAAATTCGCCTTGGAGTCGTGATCTGGAATTCTGAGATGTGATGGC